ATGCGGACTTTGTGTCGGCTATGAGGGATCGGTTTGAGGTGGTCTTTGCAAACACGAGGCAAAATGCAGCAGTGGCTCATGAGAAACAAAAACTTTATCATGACACAAGTACCCGCCATCAGCCGTACTCGACGGGGGACCTCGTGTGGCTTCATAACCCTCGGGAGGATAGGAAGAAACTGGCTCCCCATTGGAGGGGTCCCTTCAAGGTCATGGCTGTGTTGGACTCAGAAGGGGTAGCGGGTCATGTGTATTGCATCAGTGACCCCTTTGTTGATAGGGGGCCCCTTCAAGTGGTTCATTACAATCGGTTGAAACCATACACCTTGGGATTGATTCCTGTTCCACCCTCAGGTGTCCGTTAGTGTCCCATGCTGGACGCATCCTCACGGCTGTGGGACGAGGTAACAGAGGTGATGGAGACTGAGTCATCTCAGACTGTTTCATGTGCGGGAAGGTCTGTTAAACCGCCAGGCTGTTTTAAGAATTTTGTCACTTATCATTGACTGTTGTTGCCTAAAAACTTTGAGTTCTGTTATTTATTAATTTTTTTTGGGTGTTGAGCCCTTGTTGGGAGATTTGTGTATGATATTTTCTGAGAGATCACGGCTATCAACCTTTCTAGAGCAAACACAACTCTCCCTCTTCTCTAGTCTCTCTGGGACACTCGGTTACAGTTGTTTGTTAGCTACATGTTTCAGAGTGTACCTGTGACCAATGGGGGTCAGTGTTGAGTGCCTCCCGTTACATTCGTGCTGCTATGTACTGATTTCACTGTTCGACTTGTATCTGGAAGTACACCTTTTGTTCACATTTGTTAAGCTGTTGCTGTAATGCTATACGTTGTTAGTCTGCACGCTGAGCCGCACCGCATCAGGCTATGTTAGCCAGCCTTAGCCCATGTAGCTTTTACATGTCGCTGCATGGCTCCTTCATCCCTGTCAATAAACTTACCTAACATCGAGGAGTGTGTTTTTTCACATGTAGCTACATGCTGTGAGGACAGCGTACGTTCACTATACAGGGCATTCCACAAGTTGTGCCAAATAAACTAAAACATCTCAGAATCCTACCTCAGTTCTGTTATATTTTCACATCTTGAGTGAGAGAAGTAGTTGAAGAGTCTGATGACCAGTATAATGTATATGGTATATCATACCATGCCATTTAACTTAAAGCACAGTTTAAAATTGCATGTCAGCTAACCAAAGTGCTGCACATAAAAAGCCAAAGGCTCAAACACAACAACCGACAAATAGCAAAACACTGAGGGATAATTAAACAGCATAAAGGTGAAGCATATACAACAGAGCATAAAATGATTATAATGATTATACATGATTAAAAGGACTAAAGGGAGAAGAAGTAAAATCATTATGGCAGGAAAGGGAAAAACTGGAACAAACCCGCTAAAAACAGCACCAATAAAACCAAAAAAGATTCCAAGATGCAACTAAAAGAGCAATCAATCAGAGTTAAACTAAGTGGGAAAAGTAAAACAGCCCTAAGACGTGCAGTGAGGCCAGACGGGAGTCCTGCAGTTTTTATTGAGGTAGATCATGTAGGGTAGGCGATGCTGGAAAAATGTGTCGAGCAGATGTGAACCTACTGAGGGATGGAGCCAAATGTACTTGGATGGGTAAGGAGTTCCAGAGTTTGGGTGCAGCATGAGGAAAGGCACGCTCCCTCCGTGATTTATTGCAGACCTTCGGAACAACCAGTAGCTGGTGATCAGCTTGTCAAAGGGAACGTATGGGTGTATATGGAGTCAACAGCTCAGGCAGATAAGATTGAGGTGAACCATTCAAGGCATTGTAAGCTCCACTCTGAGTCCCTCCTGGATGTATACGTTTCTTGCCCTATCCCTAAGGCTGAGCCTGGCCACCCTGTGAAGGAAGATCATATCCACGCTTGTATCCACGATCTCGTTGTTCAGTCATCACCCAAAGCTCATGACCATAGGTGAGGATTGGGATGTAGATCGACCAGTAAATTGAGAGACTTGCTTTCTGGCTCAGTTCCCTCTTCACCACGACAGATCAGCTCAGCGTCCGCATCACTGCAGACGCTGCCTCAATCCGCCTGTCGGTCTCCTGCTCCCTCACTCGTGAACAAGACCCAGAGATACTTAAATTCCTCCACTTGGGGGAGGAACTCTCTCCCGACCCAGAGTTGGCAAACCACCCTTTTCCGGTCAAGAACCATGGCCTCAGATTTGGAGGTGCTGATCCTCCTATCCTATTTTTCTACATTAAATTTTTATACCAATAACGGCCATTATAATTGGTATTGGATGGTAATGGATTTATAACATTGGACGTCTCTCGTTAAAACTGGTCCTGTTCTGTACTGAGACACCTCTGACTCATTCTGTGACAAAAACATCAGGGAATGTTCCAGGGCCCGGGACTTAAAGGTTGAATATGGAACAATTGAATAAAAAGCTCTATTGGGTGTTTAGAGGTATGCAGAATGAAGGTACTGTATTTCCTATAAAGGTTATATTTTAAATAAAAAATATCAAAAGTTTATTGACGGACACGACACTGAGTTTATCTACCAACCAATAGAGGGCACCGCTGCCAAAAAGTTCACTCAGCACAGCAAAGTGTGAAAATAGCTGACTCTGCAAGTCAAGCAGCTGCTTCTGAGCCCAGAAGATATCGTTGTCCTTCTGAGAAGTGAAGCAACGAACATGCAGCAGTGCCTGACTCGGGTTCAGGGGCCTCGGGTAGACTTTGGCACCTCTGCTGTCCCATCACAGGGGAGGGGGAAGTGCAGGAAGGGGAGGACCCAACCTTACCTGGATGTCCTATGTCTTTTAAAGTCCGGAAGTTGTGCAAATGCAGGGATGGACATAGATATTCTGCTGGAGTGGGGCTGGGTTGGTGCCCTCGGACTCTGTGAGAGTCTGTGATGCTGCTGCTTTGGGCCCTGGCAGGGTGGGCTGGGGTCTCCATGCCCTGAGGGGCATTTTGACAACAGAGGTGCCTATTGGGGCCAGTGGGGGGAGGGCTAAGCCCAACCAGCCATCCCTCCCCATCCCCACACATTTCTCTCCTCCTGCTCCCTCACATCATCACACAAACATGCACATAGGACCTTGGGGGGTGGACAAGTCAGGGAGTGCAGGTATGGACCCCATTTCCGTATTCCTGTGGCAACCTGCCCCCCAATTTTATCTGCACCTTAAACACTTCCACCAACGACATTCCACACAAACACACACTTAGGGCCTTGGGAGTGAGCACATCCAACGGCATTTAGCAGGGGGATTTCTCAGCCTCCTCCCGAGTGCCGGTGCCCACTTCCAATTTTAAACTGCACTTAGACACTGAGGGCGGTGGGTGCAAGTGGGGTGGTGTGGTGGCATCAGCTGGCATAGGCCAGACGATGCCCACACTGCCTGCTCACCACAGCCACGAATACAACTCATCAACACTCACTAGCACCATATTGGAGCAGGCGGAGGGAGACTAGGGGTCTTAGCACACCTCTGTTGTCGCTTGGCTTCCTGGGGCTGGAGGCTAGGAGAGAGATCAGGCCGTCTGGTTGGGGTATGGGGTGGTGGATTGCTGTGCTCAGCGTTGGGCAGGGGAGCCTGCACATCAGCACCCCAGCAGAAAGGGTCAAACTCTGGTAACCGGTAATGGTTGTACCCCATGTGCAGCAGTACCGGGACCAGAGTGAATAGGGTGTGTATGGGGACCATGAGTGGGTGTCCGGCGTGCATTTTGTAAGCCTTTGGTTGTATGTGCATGTGTGAGCATGAGGGAGGGAGTGTGTGACTGTGTTTGTGTATGACTGTATATGTCAGGTGGGGCCTTTGGGTCCTCCCCTCTCCTGGGCCTTCTTTTGATGATATAGATCTTTGTCTCCCCTCCCCCTGCCACACCTGGTGTGGGGTGTGGTGCCTTGGTCTGCCTGGGTTGTGGCTCCCGGGTCAGGGGGTTTAAGATTTTTGGCATCTGCTTGACCAATCCCTGTGGCTGCCTGGTGGTGGCCCCCGGGGCGATCCTCTGCGCCTCTCGAGGGGGGCGGGGGCTTTTCTGGTCGCAGTCTCCCTGGAGTTCCTGTGCTCTGGGGCAGCTCCTGGATCTCTGGGACTTGGAGCTCCCTCCGTCTCCTACACATCTCTAGGGGGGCAGATCTGTGGCCTCTCACACTCTCTATTGGACGCTCCTGTAGAGAAACCTTACATAAACAAGCGTGTGTACACACACAGGTGCTCACATGGTGCTCTCAAAAGTATGGGCTTGGGCACATTCAACACAGGTCTTAAGGCTATGGTGGGCACTTAATGCCCACCAGTGATTTATTACCGTGTGATTGTTCATTTAAACAATGTTGATTGTATATTTCTTCATCAAGTTGACGCAGTGATAGCTTGCTCCTGTTGTATTGTTGTTGTGTTTTTTTTCTTCTCTCTTTCTGCAGGTTTAGAAGCAGATTCTTTTTCATCCCCTCCACTCCCCCATCTTTTGTCTTTTCCTTTCTCTTTCACCTCTGACTCCGTGTCTTGTCGGAATTACAGAGCATTCAAAAACAATAACAATAAAGTTTTAAGTATCAGGCGTGACATTAAAAGCAGACGCTTTGATGCTCCACCTGAGAGTAAATCTGTAAGGCTTGTCACCAGCATTCAGACATCAATTCTGTTTGCTTCACAGCCAGACAGGACACACACACAAAAAAAAAGATAAGAGAAGCAACCATAAAAGATCTGAAACCAGAGTTCAGGTGAAGCCCACAACAGATGGTCCCAAATAAACATTTCACGTATCGGCAGTGAACCTGATGTCCTGACGGCTGGGAACCTGTTTCTATTGTTGCATCAACAACCTCCGCACACTAGATGTCGATTTGGTGTTCGAGTTCTACATTCAACCTTTAACATGAGAGGAGGATCAGCTCAAGTCCACCACTTAACTTTTTAATCAGAACTTATTTAAAGGATCTTACAGCCTTGCAAACAAATATTTGTCTATCAAGCAACTTACAATCCAGCCACCTCCGTCGCTGCTCATGTCGCAGTAAACCTGCAGGGGCTGGTTGTCATCTCCACCCAGGTAGATGGTGTACAGGCCTGACGAGGTGTCCCCATTCAGCAGGGCCTGGGAGCAGTCCCGAGGGTACCGGTACAGAACGCCAGCTGAACACACACACACACACACACACACACACACACACACACACACACACACACACACACACACACACACACACACACACACACACACACACACACACACACACACACACACACACACACACACACACACACACACAGTTTTATAGTTTGCTTTAATGTTAATCTGATCCTTGCTCATTCAATGGGATTATATGACTGTATTGTCTGTTTGCAGTGACGTTGTGATGTGGAGCCTGGACCAGAACACGTTGATGTTCATATCCTCTCTCACGCTATCTGAAAACTATTCCTTCAAATGAAGAGAAATATTTAAATGGTATTTTTGTTGTCCCTTAAAAAGCTGTTGCTCAGCTTGTGTCTCTATTGTCTCACTTGTAAGATGGACTGATAAAGGACCAATACTCAGCCATTGTCTTAATGTTCTCCGGGTTCTAACTGTGTATTCACTACTCCAGATATTGGATATTTCTGTACATTCCATGGTTTTGTATTTTTTTGTATTCAATTCAGTTATTCAGGTAACACCAGACCATGACAGGAGCAGTCTCAAGGCACTTGACAAAGTCAACGTTTTGAACTGAGTTCAGTTCCTGATGTTAGTTAGTTAGAAGTTTCCTGTAGAAGGAACCCAGCAGACTGCATCGAGTCACACATCGAGTTTTTGTTCCCAGGTCAACCCTCAGGGTCTATCTAAAACCAACCTGGAACCACCATACAGAATTGAACAGAGCTCTTGGTTCTGCACATCAACAGTTTTGCACATATCTAACAGGCGTGTTTGCACACTGGAATATCTAATTGTATTAAAATCCTTTATCTGAATGAATGAAACAACTCAAACAGCTCTAACTCCACCTGGAGTTCAGCCACTCTGTTCCTCGTGGGACAAACACTTCAGCAGAGGCTGATGCTGTAGTAGGCACTATTACATTCAAAATACAAACGGATATCTTTTGGATGGAGATAAGAAAATTGGCCATCTTCACCCTGTTTCAGTTCTTTCTTGTTTGGTTTGATCCATTAAAGCATCAAAGCCCACCCAGCCATGTGGTGACACACAGGTGAATGCAGACATACTTACTGGTGGTGAAGACAGTACTAATGACTCTGCTTCTCTTGGGACCAGCGAGGGCCTGCAGCTGGACTGAATACTCGGTAGAAGCACTCAGCTGGGCCATATTGTATGATCCAGCAGTGGGACTCAGCACCACTTCCTGGCAGAAGAAACACATTTTATTTCCTACAGCTGATTGTCACAGTAAGCACCAGGGTGATAGGGCAGCACACTGACCCGGATGGTGCCGCCAGCTGACTGGAAGCTGAGGATGTACCCAGTGATGTCAGCCCGGGGAGGCTTCCAAGTGAGTAAGGCATTCTCAGTCTGGATGTTACTGGTTGTGAGGTCCACAGGGGCGTCAACATCTGAAACAAGAACACTACTACTTTATGTTCTGACATTTCTTTGTTTATCAGATGGTTTTTGTGTCATCATGTTTTTGTATTTATTTGTACAGTCAGAGCAAAGACCACCCTCCGTTAGTTCTGGATTTTAAAGAGCAGAACTCTGGTCTCTATTGGGTTCTACGTGGTTACTCATTCAATGCCAAGTGTAGAAAAACATATCTCTGTTTTAGAAGACTTGTTCATTCAGATGTCCCTTGCCCTTGCTGAGATGTTATGACCTTTAACCTGCTACCTGCTCTAAGCTCTGGCTCAGTGTGAACCTACTGGGACATCCACCTGAGGGTGGACTTACTAGAGCCTGAGCATTATGGCTCTGATGATCATGTGTGAGAGAACCAAACCTGTAGTGAACTCTGTTGTAGTGGCTGCACTCTTAGCCAGCTCCCTCACAGCATAGACCTTCACTGTGTAGTGAGTCGCCGGCGTCAGAGAGCTCATCTCAAACTCCACCACATTTCCAGACACACGCGCCATCACTGGAGGACCTAGGGGGCGCGAGCACACACACACACACACACACGCGCACACACACACACACACACACACACACACACACACACACACACACACACACACACACAGTTTGCTAGTTTATACTGGTAGAACGATGGATGAAGGGTTTGGGGTAGAACGCAGAAGCAGAACAAAGCTTAAAAAGTGGACATCTATCCATTGATTGATGAATCCATCTGTATGCAGGTCTTTCGTCCCTCATCCCTAGCCCTCATGAACCCTTGTGTAAAATATGTGACCAACAGATACGATCTGCTCACCTAATCAGCTTTTTATGGTCTTACTGGTGCCACCAGTCTCTCCGACCACCACCAGCAGACAAGATGGGTGACATGTTTTGCCCAAGGAAACAACAGGAGTCAGAATCGATCCCACAACCCCCCAGCAGCTGAAAACCCGCTCTATCTCTGGAGCTATTGCTCACTCATATTCACTGTGGTGCGCACATGACGGCGCTGGCTGCCTATAATAGCTGCGTGGCTGTGTGTCAAGTGGGTCCACGTGTCAGCACTACAACGAATGTTTACACGTACTCCCTCATATCATCATATAGACTAAATTATCCTCAAAAAGAAACCGGGGAACCCAACTGCCTGAGCCTAAAACGACCATCAGCTACACACTGGCTGCCACTGAAGAGGGAAGTAGAGGGAAATGGTGCCAACTAGGCTGCTCTGGAGTTGGAGATGGGACCAAAGGAAAATGCAAAGAGCTGCCCAGCAGCTAAGGGCATCAGAACCCTAACACATTTTCTACTGACTCACTTGCTGATTGACATTTTGGCTGTGGTAAACCAGCTGAACATTACTTTCCAAACAGAAGATGTTAACATCTCAGCTCTCATGAGAACGATTGTAGCCAGTCTGCAAGACTTAAGAGTTGAGCCAGGGGAGGCAATGAAAAGGTTTAAAGTAGCCTCACAAGTTGGCAAGTCCTGTGCCATCACACTGCATGACCCAGAACATGCTGTAAGCAGAGCCGGATTAAATAAATGGACTACACTAGGCAGGCTGCATTTTTTAGCCCCCCCCCCCCCCCCCTCCATCGATGTTATGTAATGAATTGAAATCTGAAACTTACAAAATGTACTTATAAAAGTTCATTCACATTTTACATAGCCTAGTTTTTGGTTACAAATTGGTTGTTTGTATGCCAAAATAAGTCATGTGTTGTAGGCTGTTGCCTCTGCTGAATCAGAAATTCTGTCAATTTTCTGAGTGTGAACTTATTGTTTTGCTATTTGAACATTAATAAAATTATTTGACAAATAATTAATAAAACCAGCAACACTTACCAAGGAAACCATTTAGCATTATCTACTCCGGGATAATCTTCAGCCTTCCAGCATCACATGCCTCAATCACAGCAGAAACACGTCTAAAGAAATGTTCCTCGGTTAAGCTTCGGTTTATGTCTCCAGATTTCCTCTGTGATGCAGAAGAATATCCAATATTTTGAGAGGGATGGTTTAGTGCAAAGTACTCATCAGTTTGGTACCACTTTGCAGGATCAGACGGGTAGCTAGTTGTTAATACCCTTTCTGGGTCTAGAGGCTCCTGTAAGACTATATTGGGCTCACTTCTGGCTGGCTGCTGTTCTTCCAGTTTGTCCTTCTGTGAAGGCGTTGATGTTGACGGCGTTGGCGCTACATCGTCTTCCGCCGCATCTTCCACTGCGTCTTCGGGTCGTGTCTCCTCCGGGTCTGACTTGGGCCCGGCCTCTGGCTCTGCTGACTCGAGCATGTTCACAGCTGTCGGATGGCTGCCCGAGCAGCCCGACAGAAACTTCTGTAAAGCCCCCCCGCTGTCTCTTCTTTAGTTCCTCTTCATTTTTTTTTTACGTTTTGCCACATCCGAAAGCATCGTGAAAGTTAGCCTACTCAAAAACACCTGCTAGCTTTGTTGTGTCCCGCTCTGACTCTGACCGCTTCTCTGACGTCCTTAATTGGGTGGCGCCTTAACCCTCTGGGGTCCAGGGTGTAATTTGCCGTGAGTTTTCCTTTGTATTTCCAAAATAAAAACCATAACCACTGCCTTATGTGGTATCAATCTTTTCAGCACAACCTGGACTTTATGAATTTATACTTATTTTTATATTTGGACAAAAAGGGGCTGCATATTAGACCTTAAATCACTCAAAAACATAAAATCTGAATAGGAAAAAAGTTGTTTATTTTACTGTGAAACCAACAAACATTTATGACGAATGTTTTTTATCATTTAGACTGGTAATCTCGACTGTACATTTATAAAAAAATATGACTAAATATAGCAAATAACTAATTAAAAAAAGTTATTAGCTCTCTGGGATCCAGAGTGTAAATCGCCGTTTTTGACTCATTTTGGTTTTTCTTTTGTATTTTCTAATAAAAACAATAAATATTGCCTTATAGGGTATCATTAATTTCAGGACAACCTGGACTATCTGAATTTATACTTATTTTATTAATTTGGCAATAATATACATGGATTTTGGAGAGAGAAGAGTGGCTCCGTCTCACGCCGAGATCTGACAGGTGCGCGGCGCCGCCCACTCCTCTTGTTGGATCTCTGAGGAGCTGGATCTCTGCCTTCATCCTCTACCTCATCATGACCCAACTCTTCTATGAGGAAGGATGGATCTGCCACATCATCATTAACATCCTCGCTGTTTGCCTCAGACTCCGGCTGTGAGTCTCCGTCCACTTCCTCTGCTTCCAGTTCAAAAAACAGCCGTACTATCTGACCTGCCTGGTGGACATTTATCCTTCTCATCATCCTTTATATAAGCCTAATAAAAGCCTACTAAACTGCAGAGACAATATATCTGTCCGGATTGCTTCAAAATACAAAGTTTACCGTCAATATCTGTCTAAATGTTTGTTGTTACTCCGTTCGCGCCACTCCTTTCCCTGCGAAGCGGCTCCTTTTTGCGCACATCTCTTTACTCGTGCAGCCTTCCTCTCTCTCTCTCAGCTACATAATGATGCTTTTTGTCAGCTGAATATGTGAGACTTCCACCAACAGCAAAAGGATCTCGTGTTTTTGTGGGTTTTTAATGTTCACAAGCACATTTCCGCTCACAGATTACTAAACTGCTGTTTTGACAAGTTATCAGATTGTCTAAAAATAGGTCGTTTTTTAGTTTAGTATAACTCCGCTTTACGTTGCCTATTAACAAAATTTAAAAACTGGGGTGTAGTTTATAATCTCCTTTTTAAAGCCGAATTGAAACCGAAACTCAGGGAGGCAGAGTCTTGCTCCCACAGCGTCCCAAATCAGACCTGTTCAAAAGACGCGTATACTCGTCCGTGGACCCCAGAGGTTTAATGTGACATAGCCAATGAAACGGTCTATGGTTATGATAAACATTGTCACTATTTTTAGTTAATTGATAAATTATTGAAACAAATTGTAGATAGGAGTCCTAGCTACAAATTATATCATAGGACATTTGTACATTTAATTTTTAATTTATTTATTTATAATTTTGTTCCTCTGTCTGGGCCCCATCCAGCCAATCAGGCCCTAGGCACGTGCCTACTTTGCCTTTGCGTTAATCTGGCTCTGGCTGTAAGGATCATATATTTCTGTTGGGCAGGGGGCGCTCTGGGGTCCCACTGGTGGAGCAGATGGGGGCTGCTGCCCCAAGGATCCAGACTCTGATAAGCAGATTAAAACGGACAAGCTCTTATTTCTCATTAAGGCTGTGTGGAGAGGCAGGGGTCACCATGGGTAGGTCCTCAATTGATACCAGGGCCACAAAAGACAAAAGCTGTTCACATACTCACATACACCTACAGTACATTTAAGACTTATCTGAAATGCATGTATATGTTTTTGAAGAATACTCAGAGAAAATGGACAATGCATGGGGAGAACATGCCAACTCTACCCACAAGGCTGCATCAGGGATTTGAAGCTGCAACCATGTTGCTGCAAGAAAACAGTGCTACTAAATGGGCCGCCATGCAGGTCTGCAAAAGAAAATACTTTTGAAAAAGCTAATGCTAATTATTACCCTAATAATTATCATGGTCACTGTAGGGAATATATTCCTTTTGCCTTAACCAACACTTGCATTTCTCAGATGAACTGACTGCACTAACGTTCAGGTATGTTTCTGTATTTCCATATATTTAAAGTGAAATTTCAGTCGTGGTTAAACAGAAATTATATTCTTTTGCATGAAAACTTACAACGTAGCCATGGGTGCTGTATAATGAATTCATGTTCCTACCAGAATCTGCACTGTATGTGATGACATAACCGTCCACAGTGGCAATGGCAGGCTGCCATAGCAGCAAGGCCTCGGAGTCTGAGATGTTGGCTGCTGTCAAACCACGGGGCTTATCCAGAGCTGCAACGTAGAGAGAGGAAGGCAGTTCTGTAAGTGGTAAGCATTTTTACACTGGGTGCACTTTAAGGTTGCGTAACAAGCTAATGAGGAGTTTGGTAAAGTCCCATATTGATACAATCAATTTATTTCTTGATGCAGCACTTTAACACATCAGTTGCAGGCCAGTCCACCACTGCATGACAAAATCCAGTTTCACATCAGACCCTAACCCTACTCCGCCCAGGTAGAAGGTGGTGTTTTTTCAGCCCTTATCACAAGGTGGTCTGCTTCAGGCTGAACTGGACAAACACACCCACTGCCGACTGAATGGCCAGCTCAAATTGACGCCTGTCATTAGGGGGGACCTCCGATTGGTGGATAGAATAAGCCAGCTCGGGCCTCCCGCATATGCGACTGATCATCATTCTGGATACTGTGGAGTAAGCATCTCCTCTGACTGAAGCTGCCTCTCTGAAGAGCACAGTAGGGGCTGCATGACTTAATTTTTTTTAAGTCAACAGTCAAGCAATGAAAATCTAGTTGACTTTGACTAGTCGTTGATGACATCATACACCTGAAGCGGGTTGGTGCGCTGGAGTTTTTGACAATTAAAATTGCGCCCACATTTTCTACGTTAACACATCTCTTTTAACAACAGTAGTTTCTCCATCTTGCTTCAGCCCCCCCCCCCCCCCCCCGCGCAGAGGCTGCAAACTCACTGATGCGCCTGCAGCCTCTCAGAGTTCCTGCTGCTCTAAACATTAAAATAATTATTTCATTTTCTGTTCCTCACTTCTGATTACCTTCAATGGTGTCTGTTTGTTGCAACCACCAGGTACAAAAACTAACTTGTTTTTATTTGACTATTTGTCTGTCCTGCCTGTTTATTATCTTCCTGCATCTCCTCTCAATCCTAAAGAGAAACTGCTACCTGGGTTCATTTATATTCACCTCATGAGTTACCTTTGAACTGCAGTTCAAAAAGATCTACCGACCGCAAAAACAGCGGAGAACGCGCCGAGCGCTGGCCTCACCGGTGAGGTGCGTCAAAGGGTGGAAAAAACAGGTGATGTGCTCCGCTCCACAGCAGCAAAACACATCAGGAACAAATAAAAGACAGAAAACGTCGTAGCCGTCTTCCTCCGCTTATCCGGGTCCGGGTCACGGGGGCAGCATTCCAACTAGGGAGCTCCAGACCGTCCTCTCCCCGGCCACCCCCACCAGCTCCTCCAGCAGGACCCCAAGGCGTTCCTGGACCAGATTGGAGATGTAACCTCTCCAACGTGTCCTGGGTCGACCCAGGGGCCTCCTGCTGGCAGGACATGCTCGAAACACCTCCCCAGGGAAGCGTCCAGGAGGCATCCTGACCAGATGCCCTAACCACCTCAACTGGCTCCTTTCGATCCGGAGGAGCAGCGGTTCTACTCCGAGTCCGTCCCGAATGTCCGAGCTCCTCACCCTATCTCTAAGGCTGAGCCCGGCCACCCTACGGAGGAAACTCATTTTGGTCGCTTGTATCTGCGATCTCGTTCTTTCGGTCATTACCCAAAGCTCATGAACATAGGTGAGGATTGGGATGTAGATCGACCGGTAAATTGAGAGCCTGGCTTTCTGGCTCAGCTCCCTCTTCACCATGACAGATCGGCTCAGAGTCCACATCACTGCAGATGCTGAACCAATCCGCCTGTCGATCTCCCGATCCCTCCTACCCTCACTCATGAACAAGACCACGAGATACTTAAACTCCTCTACTTGAGGTAGGACTTCTCCCCCGACCCGGAGTTGGCAAGCCACCATTTTCCGGTCGAGAACCATGGTCTCAGATTTGGGGGTGCTGATCCTCATCCCAGCCGCTTCACACTCGTCCGCGAACCTACCCAGCAAGAGGTGAAGGTCAGAGCTGGATGAAGCTAGGAGGACCACATCATCCGCAAAAAGCAGAGACGAGATTCTCCTGCCACCAAACTCGACACACTCCACACCACGGCTGACCCTAGAAATTCTGTCCATAAAGGTTATGAACAGAACCGGTGACAAAGGGCAGCCCTGGCGGAGTCCAACCCTCACCGAGAACAGGTCCGACTTACTACCGGCTATGCGGACCAAACTCACGCTCCTCTGGTAAAGGGACTGAATGGCCCTTAACAGAAAGCCACCCACCCCATACTCCTGGAGCGTCCCCCACAGGGTGCCCCTGGGGGCACGGTCATAAGCCTTCTCCAAATCCACAAAGCACATGTGGATTGGTTGGGCAAACTCCCATGCCCCCTCCATCACCCTTGCAAGGGTATAGAGCTGGTCCACAGTTCCACGGCCAGGACGAAAACCACATTGCTCCTCCTCAATCTGAGATTCAACTGTCGATCGGACCCTCCTCTCCAGTACCTTGGAGTAGACCTTTCCAGGGAGGCTGAAGAGTGTGATCTCCCTATAGTTAGAACACACCCTCAGGTCACCCTTCTTAAAGATGGGGACCACCACCCCGGTCTGCCACTCCACAGGCACTGCCCCCGATGACCACGCAATGTTGCAGAGACGTGTCAACCATGACAGTCCTAAAACATCCATAGCCTTGAGATACACAGGACGAATCTCATCCGCTCCTGGGGCTCTGCCGCTGTGTAGTTGTTTGACTACCTCAGCAACTTCTGCCCCAGAGATTGGACAGTCCTTCCCCAAGTCTCCCGGCTCTGGTTTCTCCTCGGAATGCGCATAGGTGGGATTGAGGAACTCCTCAAAGTATTCCTTCCACCATCCGACTATAGCCTCAGTTGACGTCAGCAGCTCCCCATCCCCACTGTAAACAGTGTGAGCGAGTTGCTGCCTTCCTCTCCTGAGGCGCCGGACAGTTTGCCAGAACCTCTTTGGAGCCGATCGATAGTCTTTCTCCATGGCCTCACCAAACTCCTCCCACGCCCGAGATTTTGCCTCAGCAACTGCCACTGCTGCACCCCGCTTGGCTATCGCTTGACACCTAATTTGATAATGTTACTGTGGCCGTGCTCAGGACACAGATGTCTGGAGCGCGTCAATGATCAGAGCTTTGCATGCACAAGCTGGTTAAGGTTAGGATGGGGGTGAGGGGAAGGTTAAATTGCAAGAGGGTAAAGGTCACATTTCGGTCAAATGTCCGTTTTACCGCGGGCGTCAGATACCGACGCTCTGGCACAGTGCGTCGCCTCCCGACGCGCAGGGTCTCGTCATCTACTGTCTTTTCCGAGGACTGCATCTTGTCAGTCATTATCACGTGACAGCGACTAGTCTATGAAAGGCATAAAAGTCACTACAGAGCAGTGAAGTCGACTAGTCGACTAGTTGATACAACTCCTAGAGCACACACACCTGCCGATGCTTGAGTTGCCCCGTGGAAGGACAGACACAGCAGTCTGGATGCAATAACAGAGTCAGAGTCTCCAAAAGCAACACTGCTCATTAGGGCTGCAACAAACGATTATTTGGATAATCGATTAATTGGATGGGGTCTCGACACGATTAATCGATTAATCGGATTACATGGGGAAATTTTTAAAAACTGCTAGGGAAACGTTATTTCTCTCCTTCCTTCACTTTATTTAACACAACATTATTAGAAAACAGTTCAATAGCAGAAAAACAACATGCCATCACCTAAATTGTCTTAAAAGGTGTATAGACAGAGACCCTAAGCTACATCTATCTGTGACCTAAAATGCTTGGTCCAAGTTAAACAGCTTAAGGGCAATTCTCATCTGTTTTGTTTGATCTCATCTGTTGACATTTATTTTAAATGTAATTAAACATAGGCTGTGAATTAATCAAAATTGATCACTATTTCCAAAAATGACTGAAAAAATACCAAATAAAACAAAAGTAAATGAATGCCATCCTCCTTGCGATGATGCCCTGGGCAACTGCCATAAAGTCACATCAAGAAATGCTGCTGATCATTCCAATGATCCCAAATAGACTCACATTAGGCCACATGAAAGCAACTGAACCCAAAAATATATTAAACAGTATATAACTGCACTCTCACACAACACGCCTGCAGCAACAGTTAGGACTCCTCCCTCCCTTTTAAAAGCGTTTTTGCTTCTGAGGACATTGTGGTTGTAAAACCACACGCTAGTAGTCTGGCCCCGGTGTGATCAACCAGTTTCTGCAGGAATGTGACGGCAGAACCAGGGCCAGATTAACACTTTGTTGTACCCTGGGCAACAATATTCAAGGGCTCCATCATCACGACCCAAGGATCACCATAATGTGGTCACATACAGAATATTTTACTGTAATATGCAGTAAATATACTCAATACTTGAATGCCTGACAACACGTAACCCGCCCAGAGTAACCTTTGACCCACCTCGTGTGGACTGACCAATGAGGAGAGGGTCTTAACTTGAGGCCCTCTCTTCATTGGTCAGTCTGCATGAGACTGACTCTCAACTGACGTTCAGTCGTAGGCAGCGAAGCGTCTCTGTGCAGCGCAAAAGCCCGGGTGGACAGTTTGTTGTTTATAGGGTGACCATATTTCCATTTCCAAACAAGAGGACAGGGGATCTGTGCCTATGACGTCACACTATGGCAACGCCACACAAACCATGTTGGGACCCATTTTTTGTAAGAACTAAATTAATATCAGATTCTGCCAATTAAAGGGCTCTAAAACAATTCATATGTAAATATTTTGCATATTTAATGCAAAATCTAATTTTTCTGCTTTAGTGCTGCAACAAGGTTTTATTAATAATAAATTATTATACCTTTTGTTTTACTACAGCATAAGCTTCCTGTGCACAGATTATTAAGGATGCTTGTTTCAGCTGTGAGATTAGACGATAGGATCAATGAAAAAATAAGTTGTCACACACTCCATGGAAACTTTCAGAGAATCCACAAATAGTGGCTTTCAAATGGTTTTGTTACTTTTTGCAAGTTTAGAAAAGCAGCAGATGAGACAGCATGTCTGATAATTTAGTTTTTCATCTGATAATATTAGAACATGTCAGTAATGTCTGAGGAGCTTTTATAAACACCATATAACTAACACTACTGGAGAGGGTATGAATTACACAGAGGCTTCTGGGGAGCCCAGTTATTGGGGGGGTGGCGGGGGGCATTTTGCCTTGGCCCCCAAAATGTCTTGAAACGGCCCTGGGTGTGTGACTGAGTTTGGAAGGTGATCTGAATTGTATCAGATGTATAAATATAACATGTGTATAACTTATTGTTTTTTACTGGTAAAAACGTGTAGTGGAGATAAATCTACCTACATTTTACTTTTCAACACTTTGTTTTGTTTTCTTGTTTTTATTGAACTATTTTCCTGTCCTGTCTGTCTCTCATCTTCCTGCATCTCCTCTTAATTCTCCAGAAAATCTGTTGCCTGGATTCTTACCTTTTCACCTCATCAGTTACTTTTGAGCAGATCAAAGGGATCTCCTGAACGAAAAGCGCAGAGCGCGTTTTCGATGCTGCGTGAGGTGACATCACCACAGCACAGGTGATGAGCTCCGCAGTATCGAGCTTCAGGCACAAATAAAGGTTGGTTTATGCTTGACGCGTCCGCGAGGTCCGCACGGCTCCGCGCGGAGAAGTTGCGTCATTTTGCGTCATTTTAACAACCACGCCCCTCCACCGCGTCTCCGCACGGCCCAAGATTTCCGCAACGCGCACCTCGGAAAATTTCTAACCACGCGGACGGTCGGACGCGGAAAAACATGGCGGACCGGCACGGCAGAGGTTCGTAAATACAGACATTTGTATGATTCAGCTCTCAAAGATCACCGTGATCAACATGTTGTTAATAGTTCTTGGAGAGAAATAGCTCGCACTGTCGGAAAAGACGAGAACGCTGTTAAAAATGCTGAAATGTCATGTTGTAAACAGTAATTTCTACTTCTACTATGGTGTAGTGTTGGATGCTTGCCGTAGAGCTCCATGCTGCCCCCTACAGTTTGGGAGAATATTGGCTCACCGCAGAGACGAGCCGCACAAACCAAAAACGCTGCGAGTTGTGAAGCGCGTTCCAGCCGCGAGCCGCGTCACCGCGCGGAAAGTGAATGCGTCAAGCATAAACCAAGCTTTAGACAGAAAATAGAGAACATGTGCGGACATGAACGATCGTGTGCTAATTATAGTTTTTTGGTTGCGCCACTTTGAGAATGGACCGTGCGCTGGAAGCAGCATGCCTGGATCGCTGTGCAACAATGCGGAACCGGTTCGCAGCAGCGCAAGTCTGCCGGCTCTCCCTCGCGCTGATCTGCTGGTACCGGCTCTCTCTCGTGCTGATCTGCCGGCTCTCCCTCGCGCTGATCTGCCGGCTCTCCCTCGCGCTGATCTGCGGCTCTCCCTCGCGCTGATCTGCGGCTCTCCCTCGCGCTGATCTGCCGGCTCTCCCTCGCGCTGATCTGCGGCTCTCCCTCGCGCTGATCTGCGGCTCTCCCTCGCGCTGATCTGCGGCTCTCCCTCGCGCTGATCTGATTTGCTCTGGTCTGCGCGCAACTGCGGGCGGGAGGGGGGAGGGGGGGGGGGCGCTTTTGGAAGAGTTGTGCGACACAACGAATCGATGACGCAATTCGTTGCCAACGCTTTTAGTAATCGATTTACATCGAATTTATCGATTCGTTGTTGCAGCCCTACTGCTCATGGCCGCCGTAGTTTAATTTAAGGGTATAGCGGAGGATCGTTTTCTTCTGGGTGGATCATCTGAATCATTGGTCCACATAACTGTCAATCATTCTGGTGAAGCTTTCCTGCAAGGCTGTCATCGTACGTGCTCATTCCTGGTTTAATTTTCACTTCCTGTGCATCCTGTTTATGTGTAGAGCATTACGTCTTCATTCCTCGACATTCTCACTGAGTACTTTTGAAAATGGCTGAGAGTTATAAGAGAAAACCTGTCTTTGAAGTCTATAGCCCTTTTCAGATAGACATTCTGGAACATTTGCAGACAATTCAATCCGGTTTTAAACCGGAACTGTGTTTTCAGACACACCACTTTTGTACCGGAACTTGTCCTTTCGGCTGCGTTCACACAGCAGGGAAATGTTCCAGATGTCTGACGGTGGCGGGGGGTGGGGGAGAATCGGACTTATGTTAAGAAGAAGAAGAAAATATCACTTCTATAGCGCCTCTCAAGATAAAAATCACGAGGCGCTTAAGCATAATTCTGCGCACACGAAGACGCATAAGAGACCTGGATGATGAAGCTCAATGGTTAAAGGAATCACTGAAGCGGTGTGAAGCGCTCCATCGCACGTCTAGGCGGTACCGTAGGAGGCGAGCTGCCGTGGTTCGCCGCATTCTACAGCAGCGGGCTATCTAGGTGCGCACAGTGTCCCCCGGTCCCCTCCTCCTCCCCCTCCCCCTTGTCCGGAACTTTACCTCACCACCCTGTACTTAACAATTCCGGACCTGTTACCAGGGGCTTTGTCCGGTTAAATTCCGGAACACGTTATCCAGATGTTTGTATTCAGACACAAAGGTCTTACGGACAGAGTCCGGAACATTTCCGTTTTTCATGGCCTGTCTGAAGGGGGCTTATGATAAGGAGAGAAAGGCCTCCAAAGTGAAAAATAAGACCTGAGATTTTTAGGAGACTCTTTTCAACGATGGCATGCGCTGAAATCGAAGGTTGGGCTCCCCACAGACGTCTCTGTCGCTGGTTTTCGGTTCGACAGGTAAGCTAAAGTTCAGCATGCTCTTTGGAGAAATTAATTTCAGATTATTGCTAGAAGAAGAAGAAGTGAACTAACTCAAAACATGTTTTATAATCTATTTTCTTCAAACAAGCCACTCTTTGCTTTGATTGCTGCTTTATACACTCTTGGCATTCTCCTGATGAGCTTTAAAATAGCTTCTAAATAGCTTGTTACCTGTGGTAACGCTGTCCGATCCAGGCTTACTTTCCCTTCGGCCTTCAAGAGCAACAATGGTAACCTGGTAGGTGACCCCCGGTGTGAGGTTGGGCAGCAGTGTCTGAGACTCAGAACCATCCAATGTCAGAGTTTTAGAAGTACCTGAAGGGTGAAAGAACTCAAGTCAATCAGATGAATATAGACCGAAGTTAGTTCTTGTTCTTCCCATGACCAAACTCTCACTTGAAGTAAGCAGGAAGTTTTAACCGGTTTCATGTAAGAAGGATTTTTTAAATATCCTACATATAATCTGGAGGTTTCAATGTGTTTCATGAAGATTCAACATTCTTTAGGAGATGCGTTGATAACACTTTACAATAAGAGTGCCTTTTATTAACATTCCCGATGTTGATAAATGATTTATGGCAAACTGTTGACGGGCCTGGACATGTGCTGGCTTTAGCAGGGGGACCTTTAGGGTGCTGCAACATTTCAAAAGATTCAAAAGCCTTTATTGTCAAATAAGTGTCATTAAGGTTAGGACAAGGCGACGGGGGTGTTATGCTTTAGTAATGCATACCATAACATTGTTAAAGTGGCACTGTGCCGATTCCTGGTGATAGATGGCGTTATATACATACATGCATTTAGGGAAGTTTTACACTGCGGCTGTCGCTAGTTCAGAAAACTTTATGGGAAATGTTACCTGTGGAGCAGAAAGCATGTAACCTCAGCATGACTCATCAGACTTTGATGGTCCTTCAGTTAGTTCCATCGAGAGAATGTAATGATGTTGGTAGTTTTCTGCCATTGTAGTTTTCCAGATCTGCCCAGTGACGTCAAACTATGACGCCACTTGGCCAAATATATTGCATCTCTTTTTCAATTCCATTCTTTCACATAGGTTTTGGAATGAGTTTAGCAGTTTTGTTATTAAATTAGTGTTTCTTACTTACTAAAAGTCTGTGAACGTGGTAACACAACTTCCGCAGGTCGTACAGAAAGCAAATCATCTAGTGTGATGTCATGGACAGGCGCAGGACCCCGAGCCAACCAGAGGGAAACATGGCGTCTTATGTGGCATGCCCCAGAGACGCCCCTATGCCCCTATGTACTTTAGGCCTGGTTTGATGGTTATCTTTTACAAAGCTGCCAACATTTCTGATAAGACTGGACATGATTTTGTTTGTTTTCAACAACATTTCAATGGGTATTTCCAGAGATTAATGGTAAAAACTATGCATTGTCTCTTTAAGTGGCTGTTAATACTTTATTAAATAGTTTGCTAATGTTTAAAAATGCACTAAGTAACGTTAATAAAGGGACCTTTATTGTAAAGTGTTGCTGAAGCTTTAATATGTTAAATGTAAACAGGATGTTTTAGTGTGTTTCATGTAAATATGAATGTAAAATATAAAACAGAAAGCTTGATGTCCATCCGTCCAGGTCTCCACCAGTACTGCGTCCCAGTTATGGTTTGGGATGCTGCTGATTCAGTACTGCTTCAGGAACCTTCCTGAACTACGTCAGCGGACTTCTTCCTTGATGATGGGACTTGTTTCCAACTTAGGTTTAGCTTAGCATGAACAATGTAAGTGAATGTCAACAGATTTATTTAGCCTTCTTATTCATCCCCAGCCACAGTTACTTTAAACCCCTCCTCTGCCCTTTGATGTCTCCCCTTTTCTTAAATGTCTTATTTAGATATGTAGTTTCTAAGTCAGTCCATGTTCATGGTTTAGTTTATCCTCCCAGTCTTCTAGATGTGGGCGACGGTGGCACAGGAGTTAAGTGCCCGCTCAGTCTGTCGCTGTGTCCTTGGGCAAGACACTTAACCCACCTTGCCTTCTGGTGGTGGTCGGAGGAACCGGTGGTGCCAGTGTACGGCAGACTCTCCTCTGTTGGTGAGCCCAAGGGCAGCAGTGGCTACAATGTAGCTCATCATAGGGTGTGAATGTGTGTGTGAATGGGTGAATGACTGATTGTGTTGTAAAGTGCTTTGGGGGGTTCTGGGACTCTAGAAAGTGCTATATCAAATACAGTTGTAGTTATGTTTTCTGTTTTTGTATTCAGGTCTGCCCTTATCCAGCCCCGTGTTTTACTTTTATCCTTCGCCTCATTTAGCTTTTCCCTTCTTAGTTTATTCTTTCAGCATTTAGTTCTGCTCTCTTATTATCTTTCTGTGTTTCGTTTGATCTGTTTCTGTTTCAGATCAGTCCTCTTGTGTTTTTGTATTTTCCCACATTGATCAGTTAACTTGCCTCACCAGTCTTCCATCGTTCATCAGTGCACCTGCTCCCTGTTCCCAACCACCGCCTCAGCAGTATTTAAGCTTAGTCCTGTTCGTAGCTCCTGGTCGGTTCCTTGTGTGCCTTTTCATTCTCACGTTCTTGTGTTTGCCTGTTTCTGCTCCTGATCCACTCCACAGACTTAAAATCAACTTTTGGATTTTTTTAACTACCTGGCTGACTCCTGGATGGATTACAATGGGGCAAATGTGTTTGGCTGCAAGTTGTCATACTTAAAATGATGAGGGTTCTTCAACTGTGAAAGATAGAGTGTAAAAAACAAATTCCAGAAAAACATATTGTATGATTTTAAATCATGTGTTCGTTTGATGGTGCTGAAAATGAAAGTATTTGCTCAATAACAAAAGTTCACCTCAGTGCATTGTAATGTCTCTTTGTTGGCAATGGCAGAGGTCAAACAAATACGACAAAAAGACTATCAGATACAGTATAACTATCATTACTAAGCAGTAGAAGCATTAACAGCAATAAAAGAGTCACTGGCCGAAGGCCAAGGCACAACCGTAGGTCTTTAAACGAGATTTAAATATGTCCAGAGAGGATGCCCATCTAACTGTGATGGGTAGAGATTTCCAGAGCCTGGGAGGAGCAAACATAAACGTTCATTCTCCCAGTGACTTGTAGGACATACGGGGTGTGACACGAAGCAGGACAGAAGAATTCAAGACATGTGCGGGTACATAGGGAGGGAGCAGGTCAGATAGATAAGAGGATGCTAGGCCATTTAGGGCTTTTAACGCAAAAATCAGGATCTTGAACCTTACACCAAAGGTAATGGGGAACCAATGTAGATGGAGAACAACCTGCAGCAGGTTTATGGCTGAGTCCAAGCGAGAGGTCTTGTTTCATGCAGATCTTCTCTAGAGCTGTGATATTTGGGGCAGTTGCTGGGCAACACTGACTTTCAATTCCCTCTAAAGATTCTGTACTGAAATGAGCTCTGAAGGTGATTTTTACAAATGACCACTCCTTTGTTGCCTGGGCGGTGTGTTTGGGTGGTTGTCATGCTGCAAGTTCCAGCCACCATCACTGATGGAAGGATGTTTTAACCCAAAATCTCGCAATACATGGCCCCATTCTTAATTTCCCTAATACATATCAGTCATCCTGTCCTCTTTGCAGAAAAGCAGCCCCAAAGCCTGATGCTTCCACCTCCATGCTTCACAGTATGGATGGTGTTCTTGCAACTCAGCATTTTTCTCCCCTAAACATGACGAGTGGCGTTTATACCCGAGTTCTATCCTGGTCTCATCTGACTACATGACATTTTTCCAGTTCTCCTCTGGATCACCCAGATGGTTTCTGGCCAACTTTAGACGGGCCTGGACATGTGCTGGCTTTAGCAGGGGGACCTTTAGGGTGCTGCAACATTTCAAAAGATTCAAAAGCCTTTATTGTCATCTGCACAGTAAAGAAACACATTTCCCCGTACAATGAAATTCTTCCTTTTCCGCCCGCCCTAGAAGCCAAATGTAGAAGTATAAACATTTTAAATAGAAAAGAAATAAGCACACAAACATTTATAATAAAATATAAGCTTTACAGAAATATTCATTCGAGAAAATAAGTCTTTGTACGTATTTGTACAATCAAGATTTTAATCCATGACGACATTTACAATAGTAGCACTTGTTACCGTGGTCCCAGCACTATTCAGGTCTCTGAGCAGTTCCTCTTTGTAGTAGTTGTGGGCTGTTTCCTCACTCTTCTCAACATCACACAAGGTGAGATGCTGCACCCTGAGGTGAGTGCCGCCTGGCTCAGTCTGCCGGTCTCGTTCCTGGTGTCATTAGACAGCACTCTGATCGTGGTCGTGGTAAATGTGTGGACAGGTGTCTTGTAATCAGATAACGAGTTCAAACGAGTGCTTTTAATACAGGTGGAAGATAGAAGAGCTTTTTAACGAAAAAGTAACAGATCTGTGAGGTACAGAACTGTTACTTCTTTGTAGAAGCTAAAAAACTATTTTCACCATTTAAATCCATAAAAAATCACACTAAATTATTTCCTGGATTCAGTTTTTTACGTTCTGCTTCTCACAGTTGAAGTGTACCTGTGATGAAAATTACAAACCCCTCTCATTTTTAAGTGAGACAAGTTGCACAATCAGTGGTTTCCAAATTGAGTTTACCCTACTGTATTTGTCAGACCCATAGAACTGAGTACAGGATCTGGAGAACTTTTAGTGGGCAGCTGGGTGGAAAGAGCTGCCAGGACTGCGACGTTTGGAACTAACTTTACCACCCTGCAGGACCCAGGGAAGCTCAGACCCCCTTTTTCCTTTGAAGCCTGATGTATCCTTTTATTGTACTGACTCTGTCCAGCAGGGGTCGCACCAGGCCTTGGCCCACCTCTGCCATGCTAGGGCCATTTCTACACAAACAAACTTTACCTACCACACCATACAGTGGTACGGATGAGAATGAAATGGTCAGCCTGGGTCAAAGCAGAACATAGCAGGCTGAGAAATGACGACAATGGAATCGTGCAGCCAGGTGTCGGAGTGGCAGAAACACGGCTCAGGAAATAATCTGTCAGTCCAAGTTCATTTACTGACTTAATTGGACTTTTACACCATATTCTCGTGTTTCCAGTCTCACCTGTATGCTTCTAAAGGATAGCATTAGGGAAAGCAATGCAGGAAGAAAATTCATATAAGCCAGAAGAAAGAGGAACTCCCAAAAGATCAATCTGCTGGAGATCAGTGGTACAAGCATGCCTGGGTCGGTGTGGCTAAGGCAAACAGGTAAACAGGGAGGGGGCAGGGATGAAACAAGGGAGAAGCAGAAGAGAGGGTGGCAAGTGGATGGATGGTGGATAGGGAAATAGGATGAGAATGGACTGGATCTTGATAGAATACCAAACCAGGGGAAGAAAGGGGAAGAGGTGGTGTGTTGAGAAGAAGTAGTAGAGGGACAGGAAGTCTAGGATGGAGAATGATAGTCAGGGTGGAGGACAGAGAGCAAGAGAGGCAATAAAGGCAGCTGAAGACACAAGGTAGAAAGAAAAGCAGCCAATGGTGAAGGAAAAGCTAACAGAGGTCAAGGACAACTGGATGAGGGCTACAACTGGGACATCTCACACAGAAGAGGTGGATAGGAGCGGTGAAGTTTGGTGCATTCACCTCGGTAGCGCTCTACAGAGCAGAGGGTTAGGGTGATTTTATTGTGTTTAGTGTAAACTAAGTTTTAAGGTGCTTGTTTTAAACACAAGTTTTAACATGTTTCAGGTAAATTTTTAAGTTATTAAGTATGTTAGGACTGTTGGCTTTTACTTGTATAGCTTTTACAGTTTTTACCTAGTGTTTTATTGTGCAGCATAAGAACTGCTGTAGATGAACCTGCTCTCGTCTGACCTGTCCAGCTTCCTTCATGTCCTTTATCGGGTTTTGTTTTTCTCCAAAATAAGATCTTGTGAGTCCATGTTTTGTTCTTCCTGCATTTCATGATGCTAAATTTTTGACACTAACATTGCAACCTTAAATTTGGGATGAGTGGTGCAGGTATACTGACCTCCGTGGGCGGGGACGTAGGTGACCTGGTAACTGTCTGCCTGAGTTCTCGGTCGTGCCCAGTGAAAAGTGGCAGACGTGTCAGTCACCTCCGAGAAGCGGAGGCCCTTCGGTGAGGCAATTTCTAGAAACAACAAAAAGGAGCAAAAAAGTCAAAGAACTTGAAAAATGTGTAAACTGCCTTCTTATCACAGTGAAAGGTAAAACGTGAAGAAATGTGAGATTAAAGGCACAAAGGGATGCAAAATCAAATATTAAAACTATTTTATTACTAAAAAAGTAGTATAACGATAGTAAATGATAAATGACCCGCACTTGTGTAGCGCCTTTCAGAGTCAGAGGACCCCAAAGCACTGTACACTACAGTGTTTCATTCATCCATTCACACACACATTCACACACTGATGGGGATGAGCTACTATGTAGCCACAGCTGCCCTGGGGCGCACTGACACACTAAAATCTAGCATCCACCAAAAGCAGCACTCACTACCTCCAGCAAACAACTACCAACAAGCCCCATACTAACGCTGCACACCACACTTACACCTCACACCCAACGCAGACGAGCACCATTCCACAGACGGCTTCACTCCAGCATCCAGAGTCACACAAGCAACACTCACCACCACTGAAACCAGCACCGAGTGGTTACAGGGCATGTCCAGAGCCACCATACATCAGTAAAACCAGGAGCCTTTTGAAACGTTGCCAGTGTGTTATTCTGAGTTTCAGTTAGACAATGAAGAAAAATCCCCAAAGGAAGCCGTGGATGACGGAGGGTCTGTACAAGGCTTGTAAAAAGAAAATGGAATTGTATGAAAACATCATCAAATATAGGAAAAGTAAATGAAGATAAATATAAAAAGTACAAGAATAAATTATCTACTGCTATTAGGAAAAGAAAGAGGCAACACTATGATGCAATTTTAGACAAAAATAGAAACAATACTCATAGGACATGGAAAATATTAAATAATATCATTCACAAAAGGGTGATAACATCGCAATGGCCTAACAATTTCTAAATAGTTCAAATCATAAAGCAAGTGATCAAATAAATATAATGGAATAATTTTTTATTTTATTTTTATTTTTTTACCCTGTCCTGTCTGGCTGTGAAGCAAGCAGAATTGATGTCTGAATGCTGGTGACAAGCCTTACAGATTTACTCTCAGGTGGAGCATCAAAGCGTCTGCTTTTAATGTCACGCCTGATACTTTAAACTTTATTGTTGTTGTTTTTGAATGCTTTGTAATTCCGACCAGACACGGAGACAGAGGTGAAAGAGAAAGGAAAAGAAAAGGTGGGGGGAGGGGGGGTCCACAAAAAAAAAAACAATAGTGAACAAGAGTCTGCTTCTAGACCTGCAGAAAAAGAGACAAAAAAGCAAAAGAACAAAAAAAATGGGACACAACAACAATACAACAAGATCAAGCTATCACTGTGTCAACTTGAAGAAATATATAATCAACATTGTTTAACTGAAGAATCACGATAAGAAATCACAATGCATTAAGTGCCCACCATAGTCTTAAGACCTGTGTTTTACGTGCCCAAGTCCATACTTATGAGAGCACCATGTGAGCACCTGTGTGTGTACACACGCTTGTTTATGCAAGGTTTCTCTATAGGATGTTTATGTTTATTCATTTCTCAGACGCTTTTATCCAAAGCGACGTACTTTTTTTTTTTTTTTACCTATAGGGCATGTTGTGATCTGTGGGGGAAACCGGAGTACCCGGAGGAAACCCACACATGCATGGGGAGAACACACAACTCTACGCAGAAAGGCGAGTTTTGAACCTGCGACCTTCATGCTGCAAGGCAACAGTGCTAACCACTGCGCCACCATGCAGCCCTATAGGAGCGTCCAATAGAGAGTGTGAGGGACCACCATTCTGCCCCCCAAAGATGCGTAGGAGACGGGGGGAGCTCCAAGTCCCAGAGATCCAGGCGCTGCCCCAGAACACAGGAACTCCAAGGAGACTGCAACCAGAAAGGCCCGCGCCCCCCTCGAGAGGCACACGGTATCGCCCCGGGGGGCCACAACCAGCAGCCGGCAGAGTCCCGGAAGACATCAGCGGCAAGCCCACAGGCCCGCCCGCCGCCCCCACCCCCTAGCCGGCCGAGCCTGGGACTCAGCGACCCGGGACCCAGGGGCAAACACCCCCGCCGGGGACCCAGTAGAGCCCAGGGACCCAGACCCCACCAGGCAGCCACCGGGATTGATCAGGCAGATGCCAAAAATCTTAAACCCCCTGACCCTGTTGCCACGAACACTCAGGCAGACCAAGGCACAACCCCCCACACCAGGTGTGGCAGGGGGAGGGGGGACGCAGATCTATATCATCAAAAGAAGTTCCAGGAGAGGGGAGGAGTCAAAGGCCCCACCTGACATATACAGTCATGCACAAGCACAGTCACACACTCCCTCCCTCATGCTCACACATACACATACAACCCAAGACTTACAAAAATGCACGCCGGACACCCACTCATGCTCCCCATACACACCCTATTCACTCTGGTCCCGGTACTGCTGCACACTGGGTACAACCATCACCGGTAACCAGAGTTTGACCCTTTCTGCTGGGGTGCTGATGAGCAGGCTCCCCCGCCCAACGCTGAGCACAGCAACCCACCACCCCAGACCCCAACCAGACAGCCAGATCTCCCTCCTAGCCACCAGCCCCAGGGAGCCAAGCAACAACAGAGGTGTGCTAAGACCCTAGTCTCCCTCCGCCTGCTCCAATATAGTGTTGTGTGATCATGAGGTGTATTCCATGGCTGTGGTGAGCGGGCAGTGCGGGCATCATCAGGCCTATGCCAGCTGATGCCACCACACCACCCCACTTGCACCCACAGCCCTCGGTGTCTAAGTGCGGTTTAAAATTGGAAGTGGGCACCGGCACCCGGGAGGAGGCTGAGATATCCCCCTGCCAAATGCCGTTGAATGTGCTTGAATGGAAGAATCTAATAAATGTGCTGTAAGTGCTGGTCCCACACCAGCAAAAGAGATTGCAGTCCCACCTGATACAGCTACATTAAATTATATGGAAAATAGTAATATCAATTCAATGTTTATACATGAGATAAGTGAAAATTGTCGTTAATATAGTGAGAAAACTTCAAAACAAATAATCTGCAGGTATACATGAAATTGATAGAGAAATGATAAAATAAGTCATTCACAAGTGAGGGAAAGATAGAGCGAACGATTGATAGGTGGATTGGTGCTGCATGTGCAGTGATGCGGGCATTGTACCTATCTGTTTTGGCGAAGAGAGATCTGAGCCAGAAAGCAAAGCTCTCGATTTACCGGTCAATCTGCAATCCTACCTAGGGCTGTCGCGGTAACCGCAAAAATTAAATATCGCGATATGAAGAAGCCCACCGCGCTGCATCATGGGCCACCGCGATTACTGAACTTGGTTCAACTCAATGATGCATGTTGAGAAGGATGGCTGCACTGGTATCAAAACGAAACGTTACTTCGCTCCTTTGGGAGCGCTTTGGTTTTCAGTACGTCAGCTGCTGCGCAGCCAGAGTCCTTGGCCGAGACAGAGCTGCCACCAGCGGCAATAAATAAATAAATAAATGCTCGGAGACCTGCTGAAGTCCTGGACAAGCACTGCTTCTGCAACCGTCCCGAAGAGAGTTTGAGCCGAGCTGGAGCTCACTCGCTACCTGCAGGAGGAATGCATTCACCCTAAAGAAAACCCCTGACATGGTGGAGCAACAACCGGGAGAGATTCCCTTTGCTCGCCAGAGTCGCATGCAAGTACGTGTGCGTTAGTGCAACGAGCGCACCATCCGAGAGGGTTTTCAGTGTTGCTGCAAATGTTGCCCCCCCTCTCAGATCCTCTCTCAAACCGTATATGGTTAACATGCTGGTTTTCCTTGTGGGTAACAAGGACGTGACCGAGCTATAAATCACCGTCATTCATGTGTGAAAGTGAAATGATAGTGCCCCGCGCCCCGGCGCGCGCGCGCGCTCCCGGTACATGTAATTGTTTATGCTTGATTTTAAACAACTAAACAAAATGCGGACTTGTTTCTTATTTGTTAGATGCTGCAGCCAAATTTGCATTTAAAAGTTTAACCTTCTCCTGAATTTAGTTGTTTTTAAGTTCAGTCGGACTCCGACTGTCGGAGAAACAAACGTTACTGCGATCTATGTTGTTACTGCCCTTTGATCTGCATTCAGTAAAGTGTTATTAAAGAAGGCACGGCAATTTTTAACCTTTTTTAAATGTGTAAACATTATGTTTAGATAGTACTGCAATAAAAAAGTGCTGCAATAATATCGCACACCGCAATATTAAGCCACCCTGAATCACCGCAGGGGGAATTCCTCAACCGCGACAGCCCTAATCCTACCCTCACCTATGGTTACGAGCTTTGGGTGGCGACCGAAAGAGAGAGATCACAGATACAAGCGGCCAACTTAAGTTTTCTCCGCAGGGTGGATGGGTTCTCCCTTAGACATAGGGTGAGAAGCTCTGTCATCCGGGAAGGGCTTGGAGTAGATCTGCTGCTCCTCCACATCAAAAGGAGCCAGTTGCGGTGGCTCTGGCATCTGGTCAGGATGCCTCCTGGAAGCCTCCCTGGTGAGGTTTTACGGGCACGTCCAATTGGGAGGAGGCCTAAAGGTAGACCCAGGACACGGTGGAGGGAGTATGCCTCTCAACTTGCCAGGGAACGCCTTGGGATTCCCCTGGAAGAGCTGGCCCAACTGGCTAGGGTGAGGGAAGTCTGGGCCTCTCGACTTAGGCTACTGCCCCCGCAACCCGACTCCGGATAAGCGGATGAAAATGGATGGATGGAAACTAAGTTAATTTTCTATTGAGAGACCGCTGACACACACACACACACACACACACACACACACACACACACACACACACACACACACACATATATAATTACAAAAAAAATGTCTAATACTATGAAGTTAAAGTAATCCCAATATTTTAAAATGGAGATAATGATGATATGGAAAACTATAGACCAGTATCAATTATTCCACAGTTCTCAAAAATACTAGAGAAATTATTTGTGAAACAGCTGGATATACATATCACTAAAAATGAATGTGATTTTAGAGAAAACAGAACCACTA